GCATGATGTTTTTCTAAGTCAATGGTAAGATACTGAATGTGTTAGGAAACAACAACAACAAAAATACAAAAATCAAATCATGCTAAAGAGGAAGTCACCCAAAATATTGCAAGAGTCTGATTGCTCTAACAGGAGAATTTGCTCATTCTTAAGCTCCTGAGAGACTGGCTTCAATGGCAACTTTGTAGCAGAGTCAATTCTTATTGGAACAAGTATAAAGGTAACTTAAGAGGGCCAAGGATATATCTCAGTGGTAGAGTGCCTGGCCTATGAAGTCTTGGTTTGAATCTGCAGGGATACGATAACAAAAACAAAACAGCAAAACTCCTCCCCTTCTCCCCTCCCTCCCCCGAATCTCAATATGCCCACAGGTGGAGTCAGTAATTTTTCTGAACAGGCATAGGCACAGAATTCTAATCTCTGGCCACTAAGAAACTTCAAATGATTGGGGAAATTACATCAATTTTCTGGGGCCAGGTATACTATATGTTGCATGGGTAGATGTGTATGTGTGTGTAGGGGGTTGTTAATTCCAGAAAAGTTTGAAGCAGTACTTTAAAGTGTACTTTTGTCTATTTATTTTATTTCATGTGTATATGTATGTGTGCCTGAATGTATATATGTGTACCATGTGTATGCAGGTTCCCTCAGAGGCCAGAAGAGGACATCAGGCACCCTGGATCTGGAGTTATAAGCAATTGTGAGTTGCCTGATGTGGGTCCTCTGCAAGATCAGCAAGTGCTCTTAATGGCTGAGCAATCTCTCCAGCTCCTGAAGGAATACTTTACAGTGATTATGTTAAGAAAACATAGGTAAATAATTGGTACTGTACATAGCAAATAAAATGTTTATAATATTTAAGGGATTTGGTATATTAGCATGTTTGATCAAGTGAACTGATGATTCAATTTCAAATGTATAACAATGTAATTGATTTGGGAAACAGTATTGGGATATTTAAGACAATTTAGGATTTTCCTTGTGTTATAAGCACACTGCTCCAGAAACAGATTAACTCATTTGTCTCTTTCTATAATGTCATAATTTATTAATAACAATAAATTCACAAGGTGTAATGATTTTATTGGCAGAAATTTGTAAAAATAGTCCCCTTTTCTGTGTAGCCCTGTTCAAGACAGAGGTTCTTTAACACCAATCTTAATTACTAATGTTAGCTCTCAGATTACACATTACATATCACACAGTAAATCCATCTATATGTGTGTATGTAGGTTACAGAATATAAAAGGTTTAAAAAAAACTATAGCAGAATTTAAACTGTTCAAAGGGGCCTGAGAGAGAGCAATGATGGGAAGCTGAGATGGATGCAGAGAATCTCTGCAGGAATAAGAAGCAACCAGGCTGGATGTCTGTGGAGATGCTGCTGCTGCTCTCATGGGAGTCAAGATGCGGGGTCAGAATTGAGCAGCAGGGCAGGACCAGGTTCAGACAAATGACAGGTGAATGGATGGACAACAATTCCAGCAGACCACATCAGTAGTAGGGACCAAGTTGAGTTGAAGCCTCTGGGACAATCAGGAGTTCTCTGTCAATCCCTTGATGAATGTACCAAATGGTCAGATGACTGATCCAGGGCACTGGTCCAGCTAAGAGAGAGTTGCATCTTTTTTTCAGTTTGATGTATAAGATGAATTCTTGGGCATTTTTCCTGCCATGATTTTAATATTCCCACATGCATTTACAGTCCCAGTTTACTATGATCAAGTTATAGGGTGCCACCCTTCTCCTTTTAAGAACAAGTTATCTATTAGTCTGTACCTTGTGGGTGATGCCTGACAGATGGTGTTGTTTATAAGTCCACCAAGGTACAGAGTCCTCCATTCTGAAAAGATGCTGTTTGTGTAAAGTCTCTCAGGGCAAGGCACAGTCAGAGAATGCACTGTTTTATACAACATGGAGTGACTTAGGGCAGGGCACAGACTGATCTCAACATCATGGTAGTAAGTTGAAAGTGGGATAGTGATCACTACAGGCTAGGACGGATCAGCTGCGGTAGAGGAGGCTGGGTAACAGCTACTACAATACAGTTATAACGGTGGAATAAATTCTAGTTCTGCATATTGGAGAGACTCATTTACAACAATTTATTATAAATCTTATTCTTGTACATAAATAGGAAAGAGGGGTTTGATGTTTCCCAATGTGCAGCAATTATATTTATATTTAAAGAGATGGGAATGCTAATTGCTCTGATTTGACCATTATACATTTTATATATATATGTA